ACAACACAATGCCGTGCAGTGACTCGAACCCACAACCTTTGGTCACGAGCCGGCGTCCTACCACTAGACTACCGTGCCTCCCAAGAAGAAAAACATGGCGTTTGCTTTACCCTAAACCTTAATAAAACATGTTTTTCCTCTCTCTTTTGCATTGTTCGTGCGGATGCATACCAACGTAGCTTTAGTAGTACAGGAACCATGTAAAACCTCAGATCCAGAGGGAATACTTGTAAAATTTGATGAAAACATATACTTGTGAGGTGCATGAAAAAGATCTATTAACTGCTACTGAGCTAGATCAGGTTATCTCAGTCTTCGGCAAAGATTCTGTAATATCCCAGCTTTCGCTTGGGCCTCGGTTGGAATTGTGTTACAGAATCATTGCCCTTGACTAAGATAACCCCATCTGGCTCTGTAATACGTTCTAGATTTGTTCTTGTTTAATTTGTTTTTCTTCAAGCAATAGGACTTAATTTGATACCAGAGTCCGGTTTGACATGCTCACAACACGTTTAGTAATACTTAAGGTATAGACTTTACAACTTGTCAAAGTTTTGTCCTAGCCTAAATAAAAAATATCAAAAGTGCACTGTTGCTTGCTAGCTAGTGGGCTAAAAACTATTATCTCTTGTGATGTGTCATATATTTGTAACAGAGGTCATTATTTTTTCAGTACTGTGGGGTCGAACCCATGACCTCTGGTTTACTAGTCTTAAGCTCTACCTAACGAACTAGAGAGAATTCTCCCTATCTGGATGGTAAGAGGTGGCTAGTAGATTATACCAGGGTGACATATTAAATCAATTCTGTTTAGAATATGTACATTTATTTATTTTTTATCTGTTGTAACGTATTGTTTTTCTTGTATTATATTGATTTTATACTTGGACGGTTGATATTTACCTGGATTTAACGACAAGGACTGATCTATACTACTCTAGGTAGGAAATCATTACCAACTGCATCAACTGACGAGGATTGCTTGTATAATATGTTGTTTACGAATTGCTAGTTGTTCCTGTATGGGAGAATATTGATTTAGATCTAGTCACATGTTGTAATGTTAGATTACAGGAAGTGTGGTTGGTCATTAAGAGATAGATCGGACAAGGATATAATGATACTGTGTGGGTTGTAATAATCGAGATATGTAGCGAATGAAACAAATTATCTAGTAGATACAAGATACATATACCACACAATTAATACACTCCAGCTGTTTATCTAACAGTAGAAATAGCTTTGACCTTTGTAGAGGCGAAAGCTTAGGTAATATTATTTTGTATTTCAAGTACCATATTTAGCTACTTTGCTTCTTCAGACATTACTTTGACTTTAGTTCAGTAGCTATATACAGTATATGCTGACAGTAATGACCTTGAACTTGGATCAGTAACTATGCTGCCTACCTTGACCTTGGTTCAGAACCTTTGTAAACATTATGCTGCCTACCTTGACCTTGGTTCAGAAACCTTGTAAACATTATGCTGCCTACCTTGACCTTGGTTCAGAACCCTTGTTAACATTATGCTGCCTACAAGACCTTGGTTCAGAACCCTTGTAAACATTATGCTGCCTACCTTGACCTTGGTTCAGACCCCTTGTAAACATTATGCTGCCTACCTTGTCCTTGGTTCAGAACCCTTGTAAACATTATGCTGACTACCTTGACCTTGGTTCAGAACCCTTGTAAACATTACGCTGCCTACCTTGACCTTGGTTCAGAACCCTTGTAAACATTATGCTGTCTATCTTGGTATTTAGTATCTTTCCTGTCTACCTTGACTTTAGTTCAGTAGATATGCTTCCTACCTTGACATTGATTCAATAGGTATGCTGCCTACCTTAACATTGCATGGTTCAGTGGCAATGGTTCCTGCCTTGACCTTGGTTCAGTAGGTATGGTGTTTACCTTGACCTTGGTTAAAAAGTTAAACTTAATGCCTTTACCTTGGTTCAGTTGCTATGCTTCCTACCTTGACCTTGGTTCAGTAAACATGCTGCCTACCTTTACCTTTGTTCAGTTGCTATGCTTCCTGCCTTATCATTGTTTCAATAACCATGCTGCCTACCTAAATAACCTTGGTTCATTTGCTTTGCTTCCTACCTTGAAATTGGTTCATTAGATATGATTCCTACCTTGACCTTGGTTCAGTAACCGTGCTGCCTACCTTGACCTTGGTTCAGTGGCAATGGTTTCTACCTTGACCTGGGTTCAGTTGCTATGCTTCCTGCCTTATCATTGTTTCAGTAACTGTGCTGCCTACCTTGACCTTGGTTCAGTGACAATGGTTCCTACCTTGACCTGGGTTCAGTAGATATGCTTCCTACCTTGACCTTGGTTCAGTAACTGTGCTGCCTACCTTGACCTTGGTTCAGTGGCAATGGTTCTGCCTTGACCATGCATGGTTCAATAGGTATGGTGTTTACCCTGACCTCGGTTAAGTAGGTAAACTTACTACCTTTACCTTGGTTCAGCAGTGATGCTTCCTACCTTGACCTTGGTTCAGTAACCGTGCTGCCTACCTTTACCTTGGTTCAGTTGCTATGCATCCTGCCTTATCATTGTTTCAGTAACCGTGCTGTCTATCTAAATGACCTTGGTTCATTTGCTTTGCTTCCTACCTTAACCTTGGTTCAGTAGCTGATTGCGGCCTACTTTGAAATGAATTCATTAGATATGCTTCCTACCTTGACCTTGATTCAGTAACCGTGCTGCCTACCTTGACCTTGGTTCAGTAGATATGCTTCTTACCTTGACCATGATTCAATTACCTTACTGCCTACCTTGACCTTGGTTCATTAGATATGCTTCCTACCTTGACCTTGGTGCAGTAACCGTGCTGCCTATCTTGACCTTGGTTTAGTAGCTATGCTTCCTACCTTGATCTTGGTTTAGTGGATATGCTTCCTACCTTGACCTTGGTTCAGTAAATAGATGTTAATTAGGGATTTATAATTGTGGTCAATGGTTAACAAAATTGCCATGAAATGAGTCACACAAAATGTAAGTCATTTACTGTGTATATATGCATACACTGTAGTTACCAAAAGTAGATATTCAGTAAAGGAGAGCTCCTAGGTGATAATTAATGACATCAATAGACCCTGAGGAAACCTCATGCCAAATTCAGTGTTTTTATGTGACTGGTATCGATAGCACTAAAGGTTTAAAGCCACTTCACTATGATATAATGTAAGGAACCTTATTTATTGTGTTAACAGCAATAAAAGTTACCCGTTCATCTTCCATGATTAATATTCGTAAAATAGAAATATCTCTATCTGTTATTTTTTTGGGGATGTTTAGTATGCGGAATGTGCTGTAGGTTATTATATTTTATTGCAGTGATCAAGATTCATAGCACACATGCCGACGAGAATGTTTACCCTCAAGTATTTTTTCCTGTCATATTTTTAATAAAAATGCAGATAGATTTATTTGCTACCTTGCACCTCTGCTATAGGCTCTATAATACCTGTGCAAATTTACATATTATGCAATGTCAATTGTTTATAGAGGTGTGTACAGGTATGTTTTATTGAAAGGTATGCTGTAAGTAGGGGCGCTCTAGACTTCGGGGAGATCGTACACATAGCCAGCAGTCAAAACATGTACTTATCAGGAATATATCAGGTCTGCCAAACTCTAGTGATACCCATTTAGGGCATTCCCCAAAGTTAAATAAATACCTCTCTGCTGTACATACACTATGACTATTGTGTTTGTGCTGGTGGATATGAAATACAAATTTAGTTCGGAATCGTAGTAATGACGTATTCTAGCAGTGAGGATAATGAGCAAAATTGAACGATATTGTGACATTTCCATTCTGACAAGACAGGTTGTCGGATTAAACAGGTGGTGTGTATGTACCGTTATTGTGATTGTATATCAAGGTAGTTTTATATAACATGACTATATTCTAGTCTATATAATGGTCTACCGTTGGCCAGTGTATGTACACATTGGTAATATAATAGTCTTATATGATATCTTACTACCATATACTGTGTATATGATATTCAGAGGCAGATTAATATATTTCAGGACAGAGATTTTATAATAACCTTGGACAGTATATATGACATGATATTTTTAGTCAATATATATATGAAATCTTCAAACAGTATATATGATATCCTAGGACTGTGTGTATGATCAATCCTTTAATCAATATATATGAAATCTATGTTCAGTATATATGATATTCTAGACAGAGTTTATGATATTCTTGGACAGTATGTATGATATGATGTCTTAAGTCAGTATAAATGAAATCTTTGTACAGTATATATGATATCTTCGGCAGTATATATATGATATTCTTGGACAGTATATATGATATCCTGGGACATTATGTATGATAAATCCTTTAATCAATATATATGAAATCTTAGGACAATATATATGATGTCCTAGGACAGTATATATAATATCCCAAGGACAGTTTTTAAGAAGTTTTAGGACGATATATATGATATCCTAGGACAGTGTATAAAATATTCTAAGGACAGTTTTTAAGAAATTTTAGAACAATATACATGTATATGATATCCTAGGACAGTGTATAAAATATCCTAAGGACAGTTTTTAAGAAATTTTAGGACAATATATATAATATCCTAGGACAGTATATAAAATATCCGAAATACAGCTTTAAAGAAATCTTAGGACAATTATATATATCTAATATCCAAGGACAATATATATGTGATATCCTTGGACAATATATAATAGTATCCTAGGACACTGCATATTATATCCCAGGATAATAATCTGGAACACATGCAGAGTTATGTCTGTATACTAACTGCTAGTCAACACAGTGGGAGCCTCCCACACCCTGTAGCTGATACATGTGATAGCTTTGGTACCCTCCCACCACAGTGGAGAGTTTTACCCTCAGATGAAGGACAGTGCAGTGAGTGACAAGCAGGAGAAACTCATTCACAAAAATCGGCTACACTAACCGTGATATGGTGGTATTGGTTTACAGGGGAAGCTGTGAGGTAGGATGTGTGGTAATATCTCACTGACACCAGTACAGACAGCTAACTCTTCAGGTGCTAAATGTTAGTGTGTACCCAGAGGACTAATACAGCTCACTGTTACACCATGGGACGGAGGCTGAACTGGTACCTGGGTGTAGTTATACTTTTACAGGTAAGTCAGTATTGTTTTGTTTGATTACATTTTAGGTAACAAAAATAGGAAGATTATTGAAACATTCTAATTAGACTTTTAATTTTGTTGTGTATCACAGCATGAAATTTTGTTTCAGGCATTTAATATATTTATTACAATTTTCAGTTTATGTTGTAATTGTGATATTAATCAAGCATTGCGTTTACATTAGGTAAGATGACATTAGTTTATGTTTACCTGTATTAGGTTAAGATACAGCCTTTTATTTGCCTCCAAAGGATAACTTATCATCTTTTATCGACACACATTAGATGGATTGTAGTGTTGGATCGGGATGCTGTGACCTTTTTGCCTGAATTTCTATTATAACAAATGAAAATTTACCTTTGTCATAGCTTAGTGTATAGTTAACATAGAATCAAATACTATTTTGAAATGTAAATGTATGGATCGAGTGCTATGGATAAATTGATTCCCAAGTGAACCTGTTATATAAGGATTTATTGAAGTTCACCTTCAGTAGCCTGTCAGGTATTTCAACCTTAGTGAAGGATAAGATATTAACGGGACAATATGTGCATTTACCTGAAGTAAATTTACATAAAATTTCTTAGAGAATTTAAAAATGAGAATTATGTTCATGTATTGAATTTGCAGTATCTGTATTGCCATTAAAAATGTTTTCAATAGACCACAAGGTAACGCAAGATTTTTTGTATTTCATACAGTTAAACACTTTTCTGTATTTTCACCTGTGATAAATTACTTTTAGTACACCTGTAAATTAAAGCAGAGTTGTAGATCTACACAACCTGATAAGGACGGTTCTTATTTTAACATTTCGAGAATGTTAGAAAACTAATGATTAGTTTTTCTGTTTTCTTCCTTATCATTTTGAATGAAAGCATTAATACAAATGCAAACATTTTAAACTGATTAAAAATGAAACAAAATGGAAAGAAAACGGTTCCCTTATCAATAGTTGAAACTGTATTTGATTTTACTGCATGTTGATATCCTAACGTGCACATACATAACTCACATGTGAGAGAATTAACCTGTAATAATTAGTAAAGTTTTGCAGACATATACCGGGTATTTTACAATCACACAAGGGACTAAATAGGTGATGTAGTCAATGTCCATTTGTGTGAATGATATGATTAGTGAAGGTGATTGCCTGTAGTATTGTACAATCAGTGATGGCCCATTAAAGGAAAGGGTCTCACTGCTCCCTTATAAGAGAAAGAAATGATATAAAAGAAAAATAAACAGTTTTGGTATAAAAGGAGTTTTAAGTAGCAATACCTGGAGCCTGACCTTGCCATTTTCACTCTCTATAGTTTGGATGGATTGATACTCTGATTTTTTTTCACTTTTGAAATTGATTATCTGAGTATTAAAAACTGTTTATCTTTATTTTTGTTCAAATTCCATAAATTCATTCTAAGGTACGTCTTTAACTATCATAGATATTGGTCAATTTGTTAGAACTTTTCAGACATTTTTAGATTTTTTCCATGCTGTTTCTTCCCATGGAAAAATTGAAAAATTATCAAGTATATGGATGCCTCGCCCACTTAATGAACCATGTAACTAATTATTACTCAAATGTGAGGAAATTAGACATAATTCAGTAATCATTTCTGTGAATGAAGGATAATTACAGCATGTCTAGTGACATCAGTGGTATGACTTTTTCTACACAGCTAAAATCTATACTCTTATTGGTTATTGATTTGGTGTTAAGTATTACAGAATATTAGATGTGGTTCTGTGGCACTTTTATGTATTTCTGCTGACTGTAACTGTTGATGCGCACTGTCTTATCAGAGTTCGCTACACTGACATGATATTGTTGAATAATTAACCTGACCAACAACTTGGCATTTGTTATCCTTGCAGACTTATTGCCCTGGATCCAATAGCATGTCTGTTGTTAGTAAACTGTTTGTAACCAAATTAGACGTAACATTTCGGTAAATATGATTTTACCATGGATGTATCGCTGAACCAATTGTTGAAGCATTACACCTGATGGTTGTATAACACAAAACCATACTTATCATACTAAACCAACAGTAATATTATCAAATTCATGGTAGCACTTAACCCATGGTAGCAGTCTACATTTGATTGGTTGTAGCACAAAAATCATGGAAACCGTTTAAATCTGATTGGTTGTAACTCAAAATGTATTGGTAGCAGTCGATCTTTATATGATTGGTTGTAGCACAAAATTCTCATGGTAGTGGTCTAAATCTGATTGGTTGTAGCACAAAATTCATGGTAGTGGTCTAAATCTGATTGGTTGTAGCACTGAATTCATGGTAGAAGTCTGAATCTAATTAGTTGTAGCACTGAATTCAAGGTAGTAGTCTGAATCTAATTGGTTGTAGCACTAAATTCATGGAAGCAGTCTGAATCTAATTGGTTAAGCACTAAATTCATGGTAGAAGTCTGAATCTAATTGGTTCTAGCACTGAATTCATGGTAGAAGTCTGAATCTAATTGGTTAAGCACTAAATTCATGGTAGAAGTCTGAATCTAATTGGTTGTAGCACTAAATTCATGGAAGCAGTCTGAATCTAATTGGTTGTAGCACTGAATTCAAGGTAGTAGTCTGAATCCTATTAGTTGTAGCACTGAATTCATGGTAGAAGTCTGAATCTAATTGGTTGTAGCACTAAATTCATGGAAGCAGTCTGAATCTAATTGGTTGTAGCACTGAATTCAAGGTAGTAGTCTGAATCTAATTGGTTGTAGCACTGAATTCATGGTAGAATATTAGTCTGAATCTAATTGGTTAAGCACTAATCTCATGGTAGAAGTCTGAATCTAATTGGTTGTAGCACTAAATTCATGGAAGCAGTCTGAATCTAATTGGTTCTAGCACTGAATTCAAGGTAGTAGTCTGAATTTGATTGGTTGTAGCACTGAATTTATGGTAGAATTCTTAAGCTGAAAGGTCGAAGCACAAAATATATGGTAGCAGTCTACATCTGATTGGTTGTAGCAGGGGATCATGGTAGTAGCTAGTCTAAATCTGATTGGTTGCAGCAAAACATTCATGGTAGCACTAAACCCAATTGGTTGTATAGCACTGAATAGTTGTAACACCAAGTCTGATAAGTACACTTACCCCGATTGGTTATAGCACAAAGCCTTAGATGTATTACCAAACCTGTAATTGTTATACACCAAAATCATGATTTTAACACTGAATGCATGGTTACAACATTAAAACCAGTGGTTGCTACAGTTCACCAAATTCACGGTCTCACCAAGACCATGTGACAGTAATACCAAGATCATGGTTGTATCACGGGCTACACAAACTAGTAACAAGGGGAATGTGATAAAGAAGAGCCAGAACTATTGCATCACTGTACTGGTTAGGAGGGTTCTATTCCACAAACTCACTAGGAAATGAAAAGGTGTGCAGATATTGGAAGAACATAGGTTAACTGACCAGAGGCATTTCAATGGCAACAGGCTTGGAGAAAAAGTTCTATAAATTTTTGAATCGTCAACCTGTTTTGCATGGACATTGGGCTTTTACAGGACCATTCCACATTGCTAAAAGTTCTTACAATACTCTCATTATCTTTCTTTAGATTATATGAGTATGGTAAGAATTCTGTATGTGAGTATGGTAAGAATTCTGTATCTAAGTATGGTAAGAATTCTGTATCTGAGTATGGTAAGAATTTCTTATCTGAGCATGGTAAGAATTCTGTATCTGAGTATGGTAAGAATTCTGTATCTGAGTAAGTTAAGAATTCTGTATCTGAGAATGGTAAGAATTCTGTATCTGAGTATGGTAAGAATTCTGTATCTGAGTATGGTAAGAATTCTGTATCTGAGTATGGTAAGAATTCTGTATCTGAGTATGGTAAGAATTCTGTATGTGAGTATGGTAAGAATTTTGTATCTGAGTATGGTAAGAATTCTGTATGTGAGTATGGTAAGAATTCTGTATCTGGGTAAGGTAAGAATTCTGTATCTGAGTAAGGTAAGAATTCTGTATCTGAGAATGGTAAAAATTCTGTATCTGAGTATGGTAAGAATTCTGTATCTGAGTATGGTAAGCATTCTGTATCTGAGTATGGTAAGAATTTCTTATCTGAGCATGGTATGAATTCTGCATCTGAGTATGGTAAGAATTCTGTATCTGAGTATAGTATGGTAAGAATTCTGTATCTGAGTATGGTATGGTAAGAATTCTGTATCTGAGTATAGTATGGTAAGAATTCTGTATCTGAGTATAGTATGGTAAGAATTCTGTATCTGAGTATGGTAAGAATTCTGTATCTGAGTATGGTAAGAATTCTGTATCTGAGTATAGTATGGTAAGAATTCTGTATCTGAGTATGGTAAGAATTCTGTATCTGAGTATAGTATGGTAAGAATTCTGTATCTGAGTATGGTAAGAATTCTGTATCTGAGTATAGTATGGTAAGAATTCTGTATCTGAGTATGGTAAGAATTCTGTATCTGAGTATAGTATGGTAAGAATTCTGTATCTGAGTATGGTAAGAATTCTGTATCTGAGTATAGTATGGTAAGAATTCTGTATCTGAGTATGGTAAGAATTCTATATCTGAGTATGGTATTAACTCAGTACTTGAGAATTTAAATATACATTGTGACTCATTCACCCCTGAAATTTCATGATGGACTATTCCAACCTTTGAATTGGAAGGGTTCAAAGGTGTCATCAGGAGTGAATGAGTTAACTCCTTGGTGACACAGAAGTAGATTCCACTCCGGTATCAGCACACCTTTGCTTTGGATATATATTCTTACAGGGGTGAATGGGTTGCAATAATCTAGGCATTCCAACATGAGATAAGATGAATGGCAGTAGCTGTGTTGAATATTTCCTCCTTTGCTGTGTTACAAATCATCTAAACAAAACTGACCTCCAGTCACAATAATCATGTTTTAATATTCGTGTTCATCTACAACAAACATTGCTATCTTTTCCAAAAACACTGATGCTGTTCCTGGAGATG